GAAATGTGAAATTCTAAATTTATGTTTTTTGATTTGAAATGCATTAACATGTAGAATAGAATTGCTCTGCTGTAAAATTAACAAATAAAGAGCAAGTCAAGTAAAATGTTTAGTCAGGGACTACTAAAACAACGGGACGCGAAACTCTAATTTCATGTAGTTTTGACGACAGGGCCGATAAAAAAAAAAGCGAAACACTTCTATTATTAAACAAAAATATAATAGAAATTTAATAAAAAAATGTTATGGCTCAATTATTTATCACTATTTTCAAACAGAAATTAAATTGTGTTGATTAAGTGTTAAAAATAAAACAACTTTTTACAAAGAAATTGTGTGTTTGTAGTACAAATTTGAAAAAAAACTAATTAATCACTACTTATCATACTATATTATATTCATATCATAATAATAAATATATAATTATAAACAAATTTTAAACCATATAAATATAAAGCCATAAATACATTTCAAAACGTTATTAATTATATCACCAACATCAACTAAATAATCAGACCACTAAATATTGAGTTTCTTTCTTTTTCTGTCCTCAATGTTTAATGAAACAATATCAGATGTATTATCAAGGGTCATAACACCTTTTAAGAAACAGTTAGTTATTATTGAGATAACTTTTGAAATACCTATACTGTCTGTTTCTAAATCAAATGGTAATGTTGAATGCAAGAATAAAAATAATTTCTTCAAATAAACAACACATTGAAAACGTTTTTCAGACATTGAAACGCTGCCAAACAGTAGATAACAAACACAAATAAACTGGAGAAGAGTATCACCAGGATAACGCAATTTACAACGTGAAACATAATCTGTAAATTCAGAACTAGCTGATTGTGATGTTGTTGTATCAACTATACGCTGCAGATCGATCTTGTGCTGTATATAACCAGCCATATAAAAAAGGGGAGCATTCTCCTGATCATTAATAGATTCATTGTCTGCATTAATTAAACATTCATCTAAATAAATAATATCCTCTTCCATTAGATCCATTGTGCAACAGTCTGAATGTATGCGTGAGCAATGAATGTCAGTTTCATCCAAAGAAACTATTTTGCTGAATAATTTTAACCGCTGAAGGTGCAAACTGTTCAATACTTGTTCTGCTGAGATAAAATAATTTCCGCCACTTAGTTGTCTATAAATAAGCAAAAAAATTGCAAAAAGATATAACTAAATAAATTGAGTTGAACCGAGTATTAAATTATAGTTAAAACAGCAATTGTCAAATAAAAATGCATCAATAAACTTATGTATGTTAAAAAATAATACATTTAAATAAATGAGAGAAATATTTGTTTTTTAGATTTCAAATCTACAAAATTTTCTTTACTATAAGTAACACAAAAATAATTTTACCTGTAGGTACCAAATTCACCTTCAAGATGATCTGTTTGAAAAATACCGGGAAGAACATATTGGTGATCTTCTGAAAGCAGTTTTTTTATTAATTCTACCAATCCTTGTAGGGTGTTAACTAAAGCATGTTTTGTTTCTGGTGTAAAAGTATTATGACGCTTTAATCCCTTTCCCTCTGACATCTTAGAAGTTGCATCAGCAAATGCTAAAATTTCTTTAAATCTAAGGTCATCGAGTGTCTGGAAAGGAGACCTATTGATATCATTAAGTAAAACATCACAACCTTTCCTCTTTACATTTAGCATGTTCCATAATGAAACAATTAGTGCTAAAAAACAGGCAGTGTTCTTAAAATTAGCTAATCTCAATGCTGCAACAGTTTTTTCATTAAATACAGCAACCATGTTTGCAACATTTTGTCTATCAATCAAACAAGGGTACACTGACTTGCCTGAAAGCTTTGTAGTTTTGGCAACACAAGTTTTCTGTCTGTTATGTAATTGAACAATGTGAGACCGATCACCAGAGAGAGGTTGATTATTAATTTTTAAACTAATTGTTTGTGTTTTTTCCGTAAACCAATTATTTCTTATACTTTTAAACAAGTGAACTGGATCATGTAGCATAATAACTGGTTTTTCTTTTTCTATAACACTTTGCCATGGAAAACTTTTAGTAACAACGAAATTTTGGTAAACACTTCGATTTGTGGGATGGTTATCTGATAAAAGACACAGTAATTCTCCTCCTGCATCAATTATTTGTTTATTTATGTTTATAATCAAATCGTGAAGAAAGTGCACTGATAGTTTAAATATTGGTACAATTCTACAAACAAAAGAAGGTTTACTAAACATAGGTTTAATCATAAAGACTAATAACGTTTTTGCAATTTTAGTGGGATTGTCCTCACTATATCCAATGAGGTGTCCTCCTCTGAAACTAACACTTTAATATACATCTCATCAAAGAGAAGGCAGCAACACTTTTTAGAACTATTAAAATTTTCAAAAACAACTTTGATTGTATTATTGCACTCTTTTTCATTTCCAACTTCTCCAACTCTTCCTAATTTTGAAATGAGAGTCTTTGGACTGGCCAAACAAAGCAGATTTCTTAAATGTCGATAACAACATCTGGAGCACAAATACAGTTCAAGTGCACGACTTATACATAAAGTAGAAAAGCTCAGTCCATTTGGAGAATAAGTGGTGAGGCGTAGTTGTTCAATGAGGAAAGAAATTTCTTCAGAAGTGTCACTGTATGTATTTTCAATTTGACTAATCAAACTTAATACCTCATCTTTTATTTCAGGACTAGAGGTACAAACTCTTTTGACAATAGCTTCAAGCTGTGACCACCGAGTAAGACAATGAGAAAAACTGAGCAGGTCATAGCAGTTAACTTTTGTATGCCTACAATAAATATTAACTTGACGTGAATGACAGTTAATTTCAACAGAAAATATTGTTTCAGGTAGACATGATCGAGAAACATCAAACAATATGACTTTTGAATTTTCAATGAATGCAAAGTATTGAGGATATCTAAAATAGATTTAATAACATATTGTAATACATTTTGTAACACTTAATAGATTCATTACTTAAAATAAATAACTCAAATTAAAAACTACTTAATACAATTTTTTAATCTTACTACTTTCAAAAAATAAAAAACTTTTGATTTTTCGATTAAAATAGCAACTTTTTTCAACAAAAAAAAGGCTTTTTTTTAAAAAATGTTGTAAATATCTCCCAATATTTCTATTGCATTAACCTATATTTTATCAGTACAATACTGATGAAAAATATATACATTATATTAGTAATATAAATTTATATCATTTTAATGTATTCTAAAATGTAAATATAATTAGATTAATGTAAGTTTTTCATAACTTCTTTGCTAAATCAAACTAGCATCGCCATTTACAATCGGCTCTGTCGTCGTTTTAGCATTGATTTGAAGTTTCGCATCCCGTTATTTTAGTAGTCCCTGTGTTTAGTAAACTTGCCATTCTCTTACAAATGTTAAGAAATTTACTACCTATATTTATTTTTTTAAATAAAATAATTGTCTAACAAAATGTAGGAGTTAAAGTTATGAAATATATGATTTTAAAATAACATATATAAAAATTTTGTATAATTCAGGTTTTAATGGTTTAAGTTTATGGCCCAACCTAAAAGCTTTTCTTTTCTTTATTTTACTAAAATTCTTTATCTTAGCAAAAGGAATACATTTATTTACTATTTTATTGGTTAAAGATTTATGGGTTTTGAAATATGTAGAGGAATTAGTCAAAAATATTTTTTAGAGTGTCTATATTACAAAATTTTACAGTTTCTATTGCATTATATGTATTTTTATTGCAACTCTATTTATAACACAGATGAAATTTTGTAATGGGGATAATACTTCAAAGCTTGATGTGTTTGTGAGATACATGATGTCATTAATCTTGTGAATACAGCAGGAGTGTGATACAAAATTACTTTTAATACACCTCTACAACTTTTTGAAATAGTTTTGCAGTTTTTACATTAGGGTTTGCAGAAGCTGTTAGCAACATTGTTGGTAACATCAGTATTGTAGATTCAATGGCTGTAACTGTCAATATATTTGTACAATGCCTGTGTGCTGATGTTTATTACAAAGACATATGTGACATCCTGTTTTGTGTTGAACCTTGGGGTGCTCGTTTAAATTGGTCCCAATGTAGTTGCTGGTGTCACCTGTGTCATACTAAATTTGTGTAATTACCACCATGTGCACCATGTCAGTTTTCTCATACCTCATTTTCATGTAGTTGATGCATTTTAAAAATAAGTGGCTGTGTTAGTACTTTATGTCATTTTAATACTTTGTCTATTTTTGTAAAAAAAAAAAAATTCTAACAATAAATTTTTTTTTATACTTGTGAACTTAGTGTAATAATTATATTAGTTTGTTTATCCCAACTAAAATTTAAAAAAAAATTAAAGTTTTTTATTCTTGCCTGCTTTGATATTTTTGGGCCAGGCCAGCTTTTAGGGAAAATAAATTAAGTAAGGTTTTCTTGCAATGCTTTATTATACGAATAGTCTCTTCTGAGTTTCTCTGAATAGTCTGTTCTGTTTCTCTGAGGTTTTTCCTAGCACAATTTCAATATCTAAAATATCTACTTTTATTGAGAGGGCAAAAATCATTTGTAGCATCAGTATTATTTTTCCACTGGTTTAAAATGTAGTATTTTATATTATTTATTGTGAGCACTATATTTTGTAGAATGCATTAAAAGTTATATATATTACAAATTTTGTATATACACACACATACGCATACGCGCACATGCACGCACACGCGCGCGCTTCCACACACTTTACCCAAAATAGAATAAAGTTGATATTTTACAAAAGTATTAAATAAGTTTTTTTAATTTTTAAATTAAAAAAAACTTATTTAATACTTTTGAACACTTTATAAGTTTTACTGTTTACCTTTTAGTTTTATGGTAAAGGCTGTATTATTTTTATATATATATTTTTTTTTTTTTTTGAATAAATTTTATAATTTAAGTTTTTTTGAAAAATTCAGTATATATCTATAATCTTAAAAGGCTTTAAAAAATTTTTTAGTTTAAATAGGTTGAAATCCAAAAAGTATGATTTAGTTGTTTGGGTTTATTTGTCTGAGCTGCAGCAAAAACTCTACCATGGATTTATACAATCAGAAAGAGTCAAACAAGTTTGTATTTACATTTTTTTTTTTTTTTTTTTTTTTTTTTTTTTTTATTTACATATTTACTCATAAATTTCTATTTTCAAATAAACATACATAAGTTTGCACTTTCAAATAAATATTAACATTTTTATATAAACCTAGTAAACTATAAATAATATTTATATAAACCTAGTAAACTTTAAATGAAAGTTCTCAAATGTGTTTCTTTATTAAATATAGTTTTACTAAATTTTTTATAATAAATTTCCGAAAATCCATTGTTTTGTTTTAGACTTTAATGTCAACACGAAGTCCTCTTGCAGAACTTCAATTATTAAAAAAGATTTCCGATCACCCACGCTTACAATCTACTCTTTCAAAGCTTTTGACTGGTTCAGAGGAGCATGAAACAAGGTTTTTAATTTATTTTATCATATATAAAAAATTGAATCTCTTTAAAATAATACTGAACTTCATAGAAGTAGTCATCACTTGTGAGTGACACAAAACTCTTGGCAGCTATTAAAGCTGAGATAATGGCGGAAAAAGAGTCTCTAATCACGTTTTTATAAGGAAATATAAAATATTTATTTATAGATGTGTTAATATGTGTAATAATGTGTCATTTAAAATTACACAAATGTAAAAAGTTCATTTGTTTAGCGCTATGTAAAAATCTCTTTAAGTGTAAATATCTTTAGCATAAGTTGAGTTTGCAGCTAGTATATGGAAAAATTTATTTTTTTTTACAATTTTGAGTCCTTATTACTTAAACTGTTATAGTTTGTATTTAAAATAGCGGCAAAATTGAAAAAACACATAATGTAACATAATGTACAAACATACGTCAGTAGATGTAAGTGTCTATAAGTTGAGCATGTTGTAGATGAATTGTGTATAATCTATATAGAAATCTTTTTTTTTTTTTAAAAAAAACAACAACACATGTATTTTAAAATCAAATAATATTTTAGTATTTTTTAATTTTTTATAATTACATAATAAAATTATGCACACAATTTATCTAGAAAATAAAGAACCGCAATAAAATAGTCATTAACTTAATATTTGATTGAAGTTTTCATATTTCTCTGAAATTTATCACCTAATAAAATATTAGGCTAATTCAAATCTTTTTTGTCCGTTTAAAAAAAAAAAAAATATATCAGTTTCTGTTAATGTGCTACTATGAGTAGTTCAGTTTTTTGTAGTTTTCTTAAAATCAATTTACTTAAACTTAGCACGTTTTCCAAATGGGCTTTTTACATATTTTAATATTATTATAATACTGAATATTTTTTTAAATAAAAAAATAAAGAATTTAAAAAATAAAATACTTAGATTTTCTTTTAAAATAATAAGTGTTTGTATTTCAATGTATTTACTTATGTTTAATTATCCACTAAAAATACACATAGTTTAACTGTGATTTTACATCTTTTTTACTCGTGTGACACAAATATAGTATATAATAAATTAGCTTAGGACTGTTCTCAACACATTAAAAATAATCGCCTTTCAAAATTGCTTCTGATATTTAAGGAATAGAAATGAAAATATCATCATTTAGAAATATAAACATTAGCCTTTTATATAAATAAATATAAACATTAACATATAAACATTAACAAATAAACATTAAATATAAACATTAGACTTTTTTCAAATCTCAGGTCTTTTTGTTGGAATTAAATGAATTACTATTATGGTTTTTTGTATTATATTGAATATATTTTTACTTATATAAAAAAGTTGCTCATTTTTAAAATGTGAACTGATTAAGTTGTTCGCAACCACCCTTCAAACGTGTCCGATACCACCCGATCATACCACATTCACAAATACAAGTTGTAAAACCAGTGAATTAAAGTATTAAACAAATTTTTCTAAATAAATAAAAATGTTTCTTTAATCAATCAAAAGTTGTTAGTTTACATAAAATTAGATGTAACAATGTAATCAAATATGATGAAACATTACTCTTCTGGTTATGGGAAACAATATCTTGCACTCCTAGCCTAATCGCTTCGGTATATTATATTACATATTTTGCATATGCCTTATTTCCACTCAAATAATGTTTTTATAGTATTTAAAATCATGTAGCTTCTTTAGTTTAAGCCAAATATCAAGTGTCTGGAGTTAAAGCATAAAAATTTTAGTTGAGGTTTTCTAATTTTTAAAATTTTAAAAAGAAACAGTAAAAAAGTGACTAGTATCCAAACCACTAATAAATAGCAGTTCACAAAACGGTTACTGGAGCGGGTAATTGTAATACAAAACTATTTTTTTTTTACTTTTAAAGTAAAGAATATGTATAGTTTTTCTATATATATATATATATATATATATATATATATATATATATATATATATATATATATATATATATATATATATATATATATATATATATATATATATATATATATATATATATACATATATATATACATATATATATATATATATATATATATATATATATATATATATATATATATATATATATATATGTGTATATATATATATATATGTATATATATATATATATGTATATATATATATATATATATATCATAGCATATTTATGTAAGCATTTGCTCACTTTTTTTGCTAAATAAGTACGGCTTTTTTAGAAAAAGAAGAAAGAAAAAAAGAATAATGAATAAAAAGATTGCTACCCCATGCCAAACCTTCATTTGATCTAGCAGCACTCCGCTGCAAGGCAGGCTATTTGTCAGTCAATGTATATACTGAAGCCCTCGGGAACAGGCTATTTCAGTATGACATCACACTGCTCACCTAAATCAGCAGTATAAGATCATAATTAAACAAATGGGCAAAAACATTAAAACAGTTTCATATCTAATATAATATACAATAAATATAAATTTAATTTGCTATGACCATTTCAGTAAATATCTGTTTGCTAAAAATTGTCTAAATTTAACAATCAGCCAAAACGAGTACTAAAACAAGCTTATACATTTTATCTGAGTGAATATTATCAGCAGGTTCTGTATGGGTTCCTGTTTTTAGTTTTATAAAGTTTTTTAAAATTAAGAAGCAACAACCAATATTGTATACTTATATATTATTTTTTAATAATCTTATTTTTATAATAGATTTTATTTATTATATTAAAGTTTAATATAATAAATAAAATCTATTAAGGTTTAAAAAGTAAAGATATGTTTAACAGTTAAACATATCTTTATTTTTTAAATACAGTATAAAAATTGATTATATTTTTCATACAGGATCATTTTCATTTTTCAGAATAGGTTTTTAAAAATAGTGTTAATAAATTAAAACATTTATGTTAAGAAAAAAAGCAAGATTTTTAACTTGTTATTTAATTAATTTTTCATATTTTTTTATTAATGCGCAAGACAATACAGTTGTCTTTTAACAATGCCTGGCTAAAATGTGTGAACTAAAGTATTTTACTGTATCTGTATTACATAATATACACATTAATCTGTTTTTAAGGTAGAGTTCTTGCTGTTATAATTGATTTAAGAATTCTTTAATGATATCGTTTTCTAAATGCCATAATTTTTAAACTTCATACTAATTAAAATAGCTTTTTAAATAATATTACAGTGTAATTTAAGTTGTTAGTAGTAGTTTTGTTAGTACATTTATCTATTAGGCTGGCGCAGATGTGTTTTTAATACATTGTTCCCAGTTTAGGATTTTGAACGCTGGATCTTCTTGACTCGATGCATGGGTTTTGCTTGCGTCTCTGTTTTTATGACTAGGCAACTCATTCTATTATCTCCAAATGAGGGTACAGCTCTAAAACTCAGTTTTATGGTTCTGAGGCCGGCTGGTAGTCAGGTTTCCCGAACTCTGTGGTAGCTCTCAGAGAGGCTGATTCCATCAACAGTTGAAAAATATCAAAGTACTAACAGTGCCATGTTGCGCATGGATGGTGTCCCTGTTTGTACTTTTGGTGTGCATTGCCAAGGCCACATTAGAGCCCTTTGTTACAGCTAAGGGTTTATTAGTAGTAATGAGGCAACTGCTTGGGCTATAAAACAGTGTACTGAGTACTATCTATGTTTCGAGTCAAGCTCTATAACAAATTTAAAAATGAATAAAATAACAAAAACTATAAACCACAAAAAACCACAGTCATCACCAAGTTCGCTAAACCTATCATTCACTAATATTCATGGCCTTCAAAGTAACTTTTCTTCCGCTGAGTCTTATCTCTTGCAAAGTTCACCAGACCTACTTTCTCTTTGTGAGACTAATTTGAGTTCAGCTGTCTCATCTTGTGATCTGGAAATCTGGAGATCGTTATTTTGCTCTACAATCTTCATCTTTTCTCGTCCAGTAACTTCTAACACTAATAACAGTGGTTGCTTGCAGCCTTGTTGGAAGCGAAGATGTTAAAAAAAAAACAAAAAAACTTTTAATCATTTTTACATTTTTTAATTCATGAAGTTATATACATTGAATTATATAAAAATTAAAAAGGAGACTTACCTAAACCCATTATTATCATCCTCACATATAGAATTTTACTTATTTTTTGTGAAAAATCTATTGTAGTTTACTTTGTTTATTCTGTGGATATGTTGATCTGTTTTTTGTTGAAATAGAAAAATTGTAACATGAAAATTATACTTACAATGTTGAAATTTGACATTGTAACAATATTATCATCCTCACATATAGAATAAAACACCAGGAGAAATTTTACATAGTTGTCATCTACGTTAGAGATACTTATGTTATAATTGTCATCTACGTCAGAGATACTTATGCCATCTATGTTAGAGATACTTATATTATAATTGCCTTCTATGTTAGAGATACTTATGCCATCTATGTTATACTTATGTTAAGTGTTTAATTAATTAAGTAATCTGCGCAACGCTGAGACAATTTTCTTTCTTAAAGGGCAAAGATGGTAAATTCAGATTTTGTCTTTCAAAATAAATAGAGAGATCAAAGTATGCAGCAAAAGTGTGCATATTAATTTTTTTTTTTTTCTCTAAAAGCAATTTTAAAGTTTACTAAAAAATGTTGAAGTAAATAAGGAATAAGTATAGAAATGGTCAGTGTTGAATAGACTTAATGAGACTTGTAGTTTACAGGTCTGGACAGCTAGGTTCTATTAAATTGCTATTTTAGGAAAGAACAGGCAAAAAAATATATCAAAGAAAAAGTGTGATGTAAAAATAGTTTAAACTGTTTAATGTTTTTTAAATGATATGCTTATAATAAAATGTTTATTGCAAAATTTTAATACTTATAAAATAGTATTGTGTTAATATTGCTTCGTTTGATCCCATGCAGACATAAATATACCACCACAAGCAAAATATTTGTAAGAATAAACTTGTTGTTTCAATTAGCTTTTAAACTCATCTTTCAATTGACTATGTTATAGCCAATTCAAAACATTTGAGGAGCTTATTTGCAAAATGCACTTAGTCAGAGTAAACTGATTTTGAGAAAACAACAAAAAACTAAACTACTCTTAGTTGCGCATCAACAGAAATGGATATTTTCTTTGTCCATTTTTAGGACCAGAAATTTTTTAATTGGTCTAATATTTAAATAGATAATTTAAGCTCCTCATTTGTAAGATGAAATATTATCTGTTCTTCTGCTTACTTCTTTTGCTGTCAAATCACAAGTTTGCAGAAGATAATCCAATCAATAACCTGTTGAAGTATTATTGCATCAGCTTTGATATCTGGTGTTATTTTATCTCTGCATTTGTATTGCTAGTTTTAAACTTTTTGTAACCAAGGTCTCTTTTCTTTCACAATAAGCTCTATACAGTTTTTTCTTTACTCTACATTCTCATACCATAGTTTTTATGATGGACTCAGAAAAGCATACCACACTGGAACTGTTTCCATTACAATTTCTATCATTTTACTTAATGGTGTTTCAATAGGCTTAGACAATAAAAATATTTTGAGAACCAGACTCTGCAAAGTCTATTGGCTGTTGTCAATAGAATCATCTAGAATCATTAACTGGGCTAAATTCTATTATGGTCAGGTCTCTGGGCATATTTCCATTTCTTATGGCAGAGACTGTTCTGCACCTATAAAAGAAGATCGGAAGATGTTTGATTACTTCATCCTTTAAAGTATTAAGAAGATCTCCAACATCAATCTTTTTTAATGATGGTTTAATTCCATCATTTAAATTCTTGTGATTAAGATAACTTTTAATTAAAAAATAATAAAAAGTACTTGCCCCAAATACCAAATTAAAGGTGTTACTTGAGACAATGTTTAATTCAATGTTTAATTAAAGTTCAAGTAACCAAGTTAAAACCCTATATATGGGTTTACTTGGTTCAATCAGAATGTTTTAAAAAAACTATGAATGTCAATATCAAAACTCAAAATACAATAGAAAGAACAATTTTTAGTGAATGTTTATTAAAAAAAACAATAATATAATAACATTGAATACATTTTTATAGAAATTAGAGTTTATTAAATAGTTGAATTGGAATGTAATGGAATTAAAAATCTTTCAGATTGATTACATTCATGTTTGAATGAAGTTGAATTTTAAATTTTTAGGAGAAGCAGTGTTAAAAATATGCCTTTCCCTGTGGACAGTGAGTGCATCCAAGACATGTACAATATCACCTTTCCTTACAGATAGTTTAACTGGAATACTGGGATAAACAAATGGTTGTCACATTTAGAACTCTTCCTCAAGAAAGAACAAGACCATTCATCATTTTCACATTGCTATATAATGACTTCCAAGTACTATATTTGCGACCCATTTTCTTTTTTACCAAATAAAGTTTTAAAAAATGAAAGTACCTATTGTGTTAATAATAGTAGGTCTATAACACCTAAACTTATGCAAAGAATGAAATAGGATGCATGAAAAATGATAAAACTAACATTATTGGGAATGAACATAATTTTGGAGAGACTTCAAATGTATTCCAAGTAACCCCAAAATTACCGTTTAAAAATAAAGTACAATGTTCTGGAACAGTTTGGAATTTATCATAAACAAATATTTCTATGAATCAGCTTTGAAATATGAGGTGTGAGGTAATGCCAACCTAACAAACTAAAATTAATAATTTTGTCCCAATTAACACCACTGTCTCAAGTAACCCTGTTTTACGGTACCTGTATAATAGTTTTCTGTAATGATTAAGTGTATATATACTTATTTGGCCTAAACCTGCTTTTTTGTTTCCCAAAAAATTATCAACAACAAGTTTGAAGGATTTCCATCATTTTTCTCAAAATCCCTGAAGATCTGATATAAATGTGAATCTTTTAAAGTTTACATATTTGTGGACCAGTAAATGTAGTTTACTTTATTTTGGACTGAGCCTAGGGAGTTTTTCTTTGAAGAGCTTGAAAGTCTGATCATCTCAGTTTATTACATTTATTACTTACATTACTGGATCTTATAGTAACTTAAAGTGTTTTTAAATTTCTGTTGAACCCAATTTCTCATAAGAAATCAAAACATTTTTTTTTTTGTCCCATAGAGGTTTGAGTTTTCAGAAGTTAGCTGTAATTACACACTTTCAAAGCATTTTGATATAGTGAATGCTAACTGACATAAAAATACTCATGCACAACTCAAAAGTTTGTCTATGGTTAACTCTTAATTGTGTCTGTGGCTAACTCTGTGGCTAAAGCTAAAAAAGGAGGATATAAAATTAATAAATGTGATGACTCAGCACAATATTATTTTCAGTCTGTTGAAATTGAAAATTTTTGTAAACAATAATGAATTAGCAGGTTGCAATAATAAATTAGCAGGTTACAATAAAAAATTTTTTGTAAATGTGATTACTCAGCAAACTGAAATTAAAATATACTCAGTGTTTAAAAAAAAAATCATTTTTAAAGAAAATTTTATGTTTAAACATCATAAAAACTTAAGCTCAACTTTTTTTAATAATTCTTTTTTCAGCATACAAAAAGTAGTTATAGCTTGCCATAACTTTTTGTAGTTATAGCAAGCTATAACCAATACATGTTGGTTGTTAACTAATGTAATTAACTCTACTATAAAACACAATAATGCAGGTTTTATGTTTACCTTGTCAAAAAAAAAAAAAGCGCTATTTTCAATCAAATTTCAAGCCATGCTTTGATGTTAAAATTCAAAATATTATTTTGTACTCTACTTATCATGATTTAAGAAGAATAATTTGAACTTTAGTTATATCCTGATACGACTGCAAACAATACTTTAGTTATATCCTGATACGACTGCAAACAATACTTTAGTTATATCCTGATACGACTGCAAACAATACTTTAGTTATATCCTGATAAGACTGCAAACAATACTTTAGTTACATCCTGATACGACTGCAAACAATACTTTAGTTATATCCTGATACGACTGCAAACAATACTTTAGTTATATCCTGATACGACTGCAAACAATACTTTAGTTATATCCTGATACGACTGCAAACAATACTTTAGTTATATACTGATACAACTGCAAACATCTGCTACCAATCAAATAATTGCTGCAGATGATGCAAAGTAAAGTTGACACTGCAGATTTTTTTTTTAAACAAATCAGATTGCTTCCTTTAGTAATAAGGAAGCAATTAATTTTTCCAATTTTCTTATTCCCTGCAAAGATAGATGTAGAAAAAACTATTTACAATGTAAATCCCTGATTTACATTGTAAATTGTTTTTTCTGTATCTAAAGTTGACCCTGTCAGGTTGTAAAAAGAACAGTTATAAATATTTACAAAACATTGAATGCCTCATCTCTCTTAAGGAATAAAAATTTTGTTTTTAGATTGATACTGGGTATTAATGATGAAACAGAAGATGATCTTGATGAGGAAGAAAATAAAGTTAATGAAAGGGTTGATGATTTGTCTGTTGAAAGTTTAATTAAAGACAGTGGCAAAATGGTTTTTCTTGTTTATCTAATGGACAATTTGAAAGCTGAAAATCATCGTACTGTTATATTTAGCCAATCGATAAAAATGCTGGATATTATCCAAAAAGTTTTAAGTGAGTTGGTAAGAATAAAATATTTTAAATTTCTTTTTTTTTTTATTATTATTATTAAATTACATTCATACATTATAAATTCTATCTGAACAAAACTAGCTTGAATACATGAGCATGAAATAATGGACTAGGTTCTATTCTGTTGATTTCTAGGACTGAAGTAATGACAAGGTGGGACAAATAAAAGCAACTGTGTTTCGTTGTCAGAAAGGAAATTTTTGGATTTATGAGTCAAACAGCTATGAAAGCAAGGGAATTATAAAATTTTGAAACAGAACTGTTTAACTTGGTGAAATCAATAAAGTGTGAAAAAGTTCAGAGCCAATTCCAAAATAAACCAAGGAGCCATGTATCAAAAAAGTCAGACCCAAATATCCTAATATTTGCTGACCTAACAAACAACATTTCCCAACTACCCTCATGAAGATCACACCAAACTTTTGAAAGAAAACATAACAAAAACATACAAAAAGACTCCTTAAAAGTGAATTTAGTATTGTCAGCAAAACACACTTAGATAAAACAAAAATTGAATTTAAACCAATGCTAAAACACAGCTGACGTTATTATCATATGGTTTAAAAGCATAAAAAAAAAGCTGTGTCTTCATTTGATATATTAACATCAATGAACTGTGCATATACATTACAATTGATATACTAAACTCAAATATTTACAAATCTACATACAACAATCAACACTTGTTAAAAAATGTTAGGGACATTATTCAATGAAGAAGTTCATTGTTTCTATTTAACAATTAAACCTTGAAGAAAAATGTTTTTAATGGTGCTAAAGTCTGTGAACTTATAGGTTTATACATTTTGGAAAAATTACCTAAAAGTATTAATAAAAATGATTTAGTCTAAAACTGACAAATTGATGATAATACTCAACTAAACTGCTGCAATCAAAAAAAAGTATAAATGAAACACTTAAAAAAATTGGATTTTTAATTGAAATTCAAATAAACCTGAACAGTGTTTTCTTAAATTAATTTTTAATCTTCAAAAAAAAAAAAATAATTAACTACTCTACATTCACACTGAATTAAACTTTGAGTATTTAAATACTCTCTCCAACATCCCTCTCTCCATCTCCTTAATCTCCATCTCCAACATCCCTCTCTCCATCTCCCTAATCTCCATCTCCAACATCCCTCTCCATCTCCCTAATCTCCATCTCCAACATCTCTCTCTCCATCTCCCTAATCTCCATCTCCAATATCCCTCTCTCCATCTCCTTAATCTCCATCTCCAACATCCCTCTCTCCATTAATCTCCATCTCCATCATCCCTCACACCATTAATCTCCATTAATCACAGTAATCGTAAAAAATTTTGGACAAAAAAATATTCAACTGATCAAAACTAAATATGAACAACTTTAATTATAATTCAAAATATTCCATTGAAAAAAAATAATAAGACCCTCCCGAAAGCTAAAAGAAATATGGCTTGTTTTAATTCAATGTACAACAAGAGTGTTATTATAAATGTTGGACATTACTATAACAGAGCAATAACTATAACAGAGAAAAAAATCACTTAATAAATTTTTTTTTTAATTTAACACGGTGTTTCATCTATAAAAACTCACCAGAATTTCTCATGAGTTTTTATTGATGAAGCACAGTTTTAAATGAAAAAAAATTTTGTTAAGTGATTTTCTACTAATTTTTTTATATATATATATATATATATATATATATATATATATATATATATATATATATATATATATATATATATATATATATATATATATATATATATATATATATATATATATATATATATATATATGTATATTAAGGCTGTTTTGCATTATTATTATAAAACAAAACTCCTAGTTGTAAAAGAGTTTAATATTAAAATAATATTTCAACTAGAGCGATATATATATATATATATATATATATATATATATATATATATATATATATTCTTGTGTCTGCATTTTGAAATCAATTCATTTCATTTATTTAACAAGTTTTCACCTTTATATGTTAAAATAAGGAATTTTTTGATAGCAAATTTTGATGAGAGGTTATAAGGATTGCAACGTTTCACAATTTTCCACGTAATTAAGGATAAAACATTTTGTCTTTTATGTCCCAAATTTCTTTAGATAACTCAGTATCATATATTTATTAATATCATATATTAATAATATCGGTACCATCAATAATATCAGCACCATAATTATTTATTATTATCATATATTGATAATATCGGTAAACTCGGTATCATATATTTATTAAAGGTTTAAATGGAGTTTCACATAAGCCAAAATATACTTTTTCTTTGTAGTCAGGTTTATTTGAAAACATGCTGCTTGATAAACAATGTTCTTTGTCAAGCACTGATTGTTCATGGGGCAGATGGATTTGTTGACACAGTTGCATGTTTTCCCCTCATCTTTACCGTGGCTATATAATATCCTCTGATTGTGCGAATTAATGATGGACTTGATGTTTGGCATTCATGAGTAGCTTATTTTAATGGTATTTCAATTAAATATCTTGCGGGTTGTACCAGATTATGTTTTGTCTGTGATTTTCGAATGGAATTGTTTTTTTATTTGAATGGTAAGCGAATTTGCAGATAAAACCTGATTTAAATAATGCATATTGATAAGGAGGAATGGATTGTTTAAAAATATTTTCGTTAAAAGAATTGGTTGACAATCTTAGATCGATAGTTACAGGAAGACTTTTTAGTATCCTAGGAGAGTGGTTAGAGTCAGCATTTATATAACTGATGGAAAAGTCTAAGGTTTTTGGATTCTAAAATCAAAAAAAAATTACCTTTTAAAAGTAAAAATATCAGAAAAGAAATTATTTTTAGTAATTTGTATTCCGCTATAAAATAAAAATTTTTAATATAGATTTTACTAATGGATTTGTATTGTAAATTATTTTATTTACAGGGCCATTTAATTTTGCGAGTTGATGGCAGAATGAAAAATCCTCAAGATCGAGAGAATGTACTAGATAAATTTAAAGAAGATCTAAGATATAATGTTTTGTTAATGACAACTCAGGTTATTTTATTTATTTTTAAAAGTTTTTCTTTTTTATTTATAGATTTTAATTTATAAAATTTTGTCTGGCATTTAGATGTTTAAAGTAATGTTAAAATACTGTTTTAAAAAATCTTAAACTATTTTTTGTTTAATTATTTGTATGTTAAAGAAATTACATTTAGATTGGCAGCGTTGGCATAACACTTACTTGTGCAAATCGACTTGTTATATGTAATGCTGTTTTCATACTTTTTCTAATAACAATATGTATTATTTTAAAAATAATAAATAATTTGAATACTAAAAGTATGCAGTATTCAGTTATAAATAATGTTTTTTATTTTTTATTTTTTAAGAAAGTTGTTTATTTAATTAATTATGTTTTATGTTGTAGTTGATCCGAGTTGGAATCCGGGAACGGATGCTCAAGCAGTGGATAGGTAGATATGAAGTTGTAATTTTTTTTTTAATAATCATTAAAAAAAAATCACATTTTTTTAAATTTTTAAATTTTCTTTATATGGCAATCTTTGTTATATAATCAAATATACTGACTCTTGTGCAAACTACACCAATTTTTTTTATTATTAGAGTGTATAGGATAGGTCAAGAAAAAGATGTTGTTGTATATCGTCTAGTGACTTGTGGCTCGGTTGAAGAAAAGATTTATAGAAAACAAATTTTTAAAAATGCAATCATGAAACAAACAACAGGTGCATCAGACAATCCTTACAGGTTATATGCTTATTGTTTTCATATTATCAATTATAATTGTTAATAATTATAGTTGTTAATAATTATAATTGATAATAATTATAATTGGTAATAATTATAATTGTTAATAATTATAATTATTAATAATCAATGTTTGAAAATACTTAATACTAATATCAAAGTAATATATTAGATTCAAATTAATTTATCAAATTAATATTAAAATATCTTAGTTGTGTTTTGTATTAATATATTTTTTTTTTGTTTATAATATTTTTTTTTTTTTTGTTTGTTTGTTTTTTGCTAAATTATATGTTTCTAATCTTTATAAGAGTAAAATGAAATTTGTTTTTTAATTTCACAGATATTTTACAAACTTGGAATTAAGAGAGTTATTTAGTCTTGATAATCCAAGAGTATCTACCACCCAAATTCAACTCCAAGAAATGCATCCATATCGAAAGGTTTCAGAAAGTATAGAATTTGAAAGACATCTTCAATTTCTTAATAACTCATGTAAGTTTTACTATTTTTAGATAAAAAAAATTTGTATACTTTTTTTTCCAAGGCCTTAATAGTTATTTGGTAATTGCATGGTTTTCTGAATAAACCAATAACAAATTATAAAAATAAGTGACGGTAATTAGGTAGGTTATTCATGAAATGTTTTTTTCCTTTTTAGATTCCTTCATTCTTATATTCTTTCCTTCTGAGATTCTTTCCTTAAATTTGCTGTTAATATCACAATATTTTCTTGTAATATGATTATTTAATTTGAAACATATATTAATTTGATATTAATTTTAAGTATTGTTAAACATTGATTATTAACCATTATAATAAAAACAAATTTTTTTCCTTTATCAAAGTATTAGTTAACAATCTTTTAAAGTAATTATAACATTTAATCATATATATATATATATATATATATATATATATATATATATATATATATATATATATATATATATATATATATATATATATATGTATATATATATATATATATATATATATATATATATATATATATATATATATATATATATATATATATATATATATATATATATATATATATTAGTAAAAGGTTTACTAAATAACAAACATGCTATATATCAATAATTTATTATGTTAATATGATATTTATTAATAATAATTATGTTAATAATATATTTAGAGTATAAGTTATTTAACAGTAAACAAATAAAAATCAAAAAGTATTAGATGAATTATTAATGTAATTAAATAATATAGTCAAAAGGCTGTGATTATACCTATGAATTTTCTAGTTAAAAAGTCTTATGAAGAGTGTGCAGCCCTCAGAATTAGGGTTGGTATTCAGCAATTCTAATCTAACTACCAACCTAATTGCCAACCTAAAAGTGTTTGAGATTAGCAAAAAATCTCCGACATTGTTTCTATGTTTTTATGGTAACCTCTTTGTGTCTAATTATTTTCGCTGACTTCTAACAGTTTAAGGACGGCAAATTATTTCCAACCTCATTTTTTTAAATTCCAAGGGCTGAGTGTGTGTGCTTTGATTTTTGACTTTACAAACATTTAAGATAAGTAAATATAAAAAGCTTGAAACACAATCAAATATTAAGTAAAAATAAATTTCTTTGATTTAAAGAAAAATGGAGCATTTAATTCAAGGAGAAAATTTTATTTAGGCTCAGATATCTCTAGAATCTTTAGCTTTAGTTAAAAAACTCAGGTGAAGCAGCTAAAGTTTTAAATGAAGGATCTTTAAGATAGAGTAGCGCATTTTTATATTTAGGTGAAACATTTTTTAATTTAGGTAAAACATTTTTAAATTTAGGCAAAGCATTTTTAGGTACAAGTAAAGTATCTTTATGCTCAGACATTTTTTTAGCTTAAGTGAACTTTTAAGCTTTTTCAATTTTTGAAAACTTAGTATACAAACACAAAAAAACACAGTTTGTTTTTTAAAATTTATGTAAATTTGAAAAAATGAAGCAAATAGGCAAAAGTTTATTTTAATATATATATATATATATATATATATATATATATATATATATATATATATATATATATATATATATATATATATATATATATATATATATATATTGATGGTTAAGAGCACAAACGGAATACTTCCACTAACAATTGTTTTGAGAAATCTGAATTTGAAAGTTTGAAACATACAATAATTCATGCTATTTATTTATTGTCATGATTTTTAACCAAATGCATTCCTCAATTAATTCTGTCTTGTTTTTTACTATTTTATTTTCATTTCTTTTACATACTTTAATACCTAATTTGTTTAATGTTCACCTAATGTTTAATGTTGGACATACTCCCTTTGTGCTCTTAACCATCGATATATATATATATATATATATATATATATATATATATATATATATATATATATATATATATATATATATATATATATATATACAATAATTTTAGGCATATTTGGTATCAGTCATCATGACATGTTATTTTCGCAAGAAGCAAATAATGACAACATTGACCATGAAATAGATATTCAAGCAAAGGTAATAAGTTATAAACAATAATAGAGTTTGAATTATATAAGCAGTATGGCTCACTATTTTCCATCACCTATGACCATCACCTTACAAAAAAGTGCAACTTTATGTTATTGCCTTATTTTATGTTTTACTGAATTTTAAATATAAGCATAATTTTTTACTCATAGTTTTATCTCTATTATTACTCAATTTTAATTGTTATTAGCCTTTGTTTATTTTTTTTGTAATCATTATTTAGTTATTAATTAATAAAACATATTTGTACTTCATGTATAAATATTTTTTAATAGTAATAATAGTATTTTTTAATTGTACTTATTTTTTTAAAAATTTATTTAAAATTTTTTAAAAATATTGTTTGAAATTTTTAAAAAATTTTCTTTGAAAATTTAATGAATTATTAAATAAGTATTAAAGCATGTGAAAATATTTTTTAAATTTGATGTGACTAAATTTTGATTGGTTGTTTTTAATCTGTTCATGTTTAATTTCTCATGATATTTTTCTTTGTTGGTATTCTGGAAATAAGAATTTTTGTTTGTGAAAATTTATTGATTTAAAACTTTTTATCAGTATGCATTTTTTTTAAGTGTGGATTAAAGGCTTCACTGCCTGCCTGAATCCAGGAGATTATGTAGGAGGCGCAATTATCAGTTGAGAGACAAAAAGCATCAACCCAAAGATTGTCACAAAGAAAATCATGAAAGGAATTTCTGTCAGCTCTAACATAGTAGTAGGAAGTGCAAAAATAGGGTCAGAAGTTTTAGTGCATGGTCTTGAACACCTGAATAAGAGCAAGAAAGAAACAGAACTCAGGCTAGGGTTAAAAAATAAAATAAAAATTAGCATGTGATAAGTATTATTTGGGAAACAACTCCACAAATTTAAGTATTTGCGTAAGAGATTGAGACAGACCAAAATTTTGAACTTTAGTTCCAGCAAGGTCAGTGGTACTAAAGCCAAGCCATTCAGTGTGGTGAGTCACCAATAGCAACAATATTGGCTTAGGTATAAATAGAAAGAGTTTAATCAAGCTGATCAGAAACAACATCAAGAAGAGTGCAGTGTTGGGGAGAAAAACAATAAAGACCAAAAATAAAGGTGATTAAGTGAAGGGATGCTGAATGAAAGCACATTAAAAAATAATCAGAGAATGTAAACCTGATTTTTTTATTTTTTTGAATTGGTACATAAGTATATGCCCAGGCAGCCCTCAGAATTAGCAATAATATTTTTTCTAAATCCAAGGACTGCTCAGGCCGAGCATGTTTCTGTCCCTAGATAATTAAAAATATATACATTACGACTGAGATCAAAAGACGAAACAGCCAAATTTAAGATTAGATTCTCACAAAAAGAAAGTAGGTCACGTGAATTTTACAAAAGGTAACATTCAAAAAATGAAAAGTAACTTCAAAGAAAGTGAATATATGTAAAGGATATATTGATATAATTAGGTGATAATGATGTTTGTTTAATATTTATAGGTACTTTATTAATGTAATAAGTTAATAGAGAACTTGACTCATCAATTTTGTATGACATCTTAAACAATAAGCTATAAAGTTGTCTTAGTTCTGCTAATCAATCTAAAGTTGTAACAAGAGTTTCATATGTTGCCTTGACAATGCACACCAAAAGCACTGTTAATACTCTGATAATTTACTGATGGAATCAATCGAATTTGTTTGAAACAAAAAATCTTGAATTGAGTAAGACAAAACAAAGTTTTTTGAGCAATACAATACAGAGTTCTCTAATGCTTAAATTCCTTTCTCTAAAAATGAAAAAAAACTTTATAAGTGATTCACCTGAAATCATACAACTGTTGTGAATTTGGTGTAAAAATGTTGTTAATTGAAATAAAAAATGTATATAAACAAATTTGAACATAAGTTAAACAATTAACAACCAAATACTGTTGGTTGTTTTTAACAACCAATTGTATTTGATTGTTAAATCCAACGACATAATTGTATGATATTTGACATAAAGATCATTTTTTGTGTATTGTCTTTTAGGTTTTGAGTGCAATTAATCTAATATCTAGAGAATATAATGAATCCAAGATTAAGTTGCCACAAAAAAAGGTTTGTTTTTTTTATTATTCGCTTTATTAGTTATTTAAGACTATTTGATATTTAAAAGCGCTATTATATATACAAATATTATTTTGTTCTATTTAGTATAAATATTGTATTGTATTTGTTTTTGTTAAATATTTAACTTTGTGTTGTAGTTTTTAATTAAAAAATAGTTAAATTTGACTTAAAAAATATTATATTTTACTTTTAGAACCGAAATAATGAAACATCTAACAATTATTTAAGTAATTTAACTTCAACAACTAATTCAGATGATCATGCTACAAAAGAATTTAGTGACGGAAATTTATTAACCGATCATTTAGCGGATACCTCAAACCATTTGCAAAAAAGTGTATCTGGTTCTTCTACCTTAAGCAGTTCAGATGAAATAGATGATATCATGAGTAATATCAAAAAAATGAACATAAAAACTGATGAAGAAATTGCCTCGTAAAAAAAAAATTATTTTTAATTGCTAAAATAACATTTTTTATTAGTATTTTTCTGACTGGGTGATTTAGATTTTATTTTTTTGTTTTTTTAAGGACTGACATTAATTATAGAGTAAAAATATTATATATTGAAAAAAAAAAAAAAAAATTCCACAATAGATCTGATGAGCTATGCATTGAGAACCAAACTTATTAGTTATGATGATAAAAATATTTTTTTTAGTTGATCATTAAAATATTTGAAAACAAAATACATGTGAAACTAAAAAAAAGTTAAAAAAAAATCATAGATTTTTATTTTTTATCATAAATCATAAATATTTAAAACTAAATATTTTTCTACTAAATTGATTTATAATAAATTGTTGAACTTTTGTTTTAGTGGTCCCCATAAGCACTTTATTTTCTTTGCGCACTCCATCATAACTATTTATGTTTTTGTTGTTTGTTTGTTTTGTGAAACTTTGGTGTTTTTGTGTTTTTTCTAAACTACTTTTCAACGAAACAAATGATTTTGATTTATGACTATTAGTATTTAAAATAAGTTAGCACAAAAGCTGTTAGCAACAATTAATTTTTTAATTTTATATTTAAATTATATTTATTTTTAGTGAAGAGTTGTCTCAAGATGGAAAAATTACAACGCTTGAACCTGTTGATGGTAAGTTCCAATTTATTACTTGTAACAACCAAATTCTGATCTACAATGAATCAAATCTATCATTTTGGACATTCAAAAGCAAAATTAATTTTATAAAATTTTCTAATAATTGAAAAATAAGTTTCAAAATTTGAGAATTTTTAAACTTTAAACTTTCCAAAACCAATGATGAAATTTAAGATAAAAAGATGATGTGGTGTTATATAGTGAAAAATAATTTTGAAGTGACATGTTTATGGTGTAGAATTGGATGGTTCATTGTGGATTTAAAATTTATTTTTTGCCTCAATAAACAATTACATTAGGTTATAAACATTGAGTGCATTTAATTGGTCAGAAATAATCACCTATTCTATAATGATTTACATATATTTATAGTTTATGATAAAATAATATATTATAGAATATATAGTATTCTATATCCAGGATTCTATAGAAATAGGTCTACAGGAACTTAGTTTGAGTTTATTTACACCCTTTTTAGCTTCACAGGCTTCTTTTCTCTGTCTAAAAAACTTTTTTGTTATTCTTTCTGCTTTTTTCTTTGTTCTAACAGTTCAGGTTGAAAGGTTGTAAGAATGTAAAAGGTTGTAAAAAACTTGTAAGAATGCTTGAGCTCAATTTATTTGCTTTTTCATTTTTTTTTTACATGCTTTTGCTTTAGGCTTTTGAAATCAAATTTGGTTTGAAATCAAAAACACTAACCAACTTCTTTGGTGCATCTGAATTAGCATTTGTTATAAGTTTTTTCTGGATGGTTTATATGATGGTTTTATTATTTAGCTTATTTGTATATTGTTTATATACAAATAAGCTAAAAAATTATTTTATATTTAAGAAACCCAAATTCTATTCTCTTATTCCTTTTATTCCCAACTAAACTCTTACAAATAAAATTTTCATAATTATCTTTAATTGATTACAATCAAGTCTTCTTTGGGGTAGTTTCTCTCCTTTTTAAATTGTGATATAATAGTTAACTAATGCTTAAGCTAACTAACAGCTTCTGAATCATAATCATGGTTAGTTTAAGTTCCGAAACACAGGGCATGACGAACTTACCATCTTGCCCTCATCATCTTGCCCGAGATTGCCTGTTTAAAATTATTTGTTTTCCTTGCCATGAAGGAAAGCGAATAATTGACCTTTTTTTTTTTTTTGTTAATAGGTAGTACTTAAATCAAGTTACTTATAAATGTTAAAGAGAAACAAATAGCTTACCTATATTTATAGCAGATCTTATTTACACATGCATATAAGTTATAACGTGGCAGCGGTAAACAATCAGAGCTTCACAACTAATACAAAAATGGTGATTTCAGTGTCTCTATACTATTTTTTAACAAAAAGTCTATAGGAGAGACAGTAGTGTCTAATTAATGCTCCCACCTATAAAAAAAACCGAAAGTTTAAGACATTCTTCATCTTGCCTTGCTCTTCATCTTGCCTCGGTCTCCCATTTATGAAGTTTGTTTAAACTGAGTGAAATATATTTAGACTGACACAAATAAATAATAAGACAGTGTTACTGTTTTTTGTTTTTTTTTAAGACCGAAATAGTAAACAAAATATGACTTATCAGCTTAAAAAGTGGAAGATATAAATAAAAATTAATTATACTATCATTAGTTATGCTAATTAACCTAATATTTTCTTTCAGTTTTTATTTTAATATGATAATTGATTTATGTTGTTTTCTTGATTATGAAATTGATTAACCCAAACCATTTATTTGATTTCAGATTTTTTTAAATGTTTACACTTTTTACATTTTAACTGGTAGTTTATAGTTATATTTATTTTTCAAATTGTTTTTAGTGACCATCAATGAACATCAACATTCTCAGGTGTTTATACATCTTCAATTGAAGTTTGACATTGTTAATTTATAAATTAAAGTTATTTTATTTCATATTATATTATATTTTTTATATTATTTTTTTTATGTTGTTTATTTTTATTTATGTCTATTTAATGTTTATTACTTTATGACAATATTAGTATGCAATATACATGCCAATATTTAATGTAAAGATAGATGGCATTCATAAAGTAGTGCACAGTAAAATTACTGATTTAGGCCTTCCCTTTCCTTTGTATGCACTTGAGTGCTTTTAATAACCCTCTTCTTTGCACATATGTATTAATTATTACAAAATATTTTTTTACCCTTTAAGTTTTTTTAAATATATTTAAAAAAAAATTTAATAATTCAACATTTGTCCGTTACATAAGATATCAATTTTAAACTCATGAAAGTCAATTCCTTTGTTGAAAAATAAAGATATCAAGTTTTAGTAGAGATAGAATGAGAGAGGTCAAAATGCGTACATACTCGTTTTCTTTAAAAAAAACAACCTCCTTTGTACACATTCATATGTTTTTGGGTAAGCCCCCTCCCCCGTACCTGTCTACATAATTTATGGAAGACCTCTTGTTAATATTGTATACAAAGTCAGTAATATTATATAAAAAAATAATAGTATTATATCATGGCCTACTATAGTGGCAGGCCTAGTAAACATACAGCTAAAAAAACTTTAGGCGAGTTTCAATTTTATAAAGTTCCAGTAATATGGATCGTTTTAAAACAAGAACATGGTTTTAACTTTTAATATGCAATACGTTTTAATTTTATGTATATTAAATTTGTTTTCTTTTTAGAGCTTAATGATTAAATTTGAAGAATATGGTTTTCAAGTGTTGTGTCACTGGATGCAGAGGTAACTACAATGTTACAAAGTCTGTAAAAGTTTTTCGCCTTCCAAATAAAAAAATGTGGGTGAACGATGTTATATTTCAGATAGCCCAAATACTTTTATTTGTGAAGATCATTGGCCTAAAGAATATGAAAAAGCTTTAGTTTATGGGAAGTTAAAACCAAAACATCTACCATCTGTATTTTCTTGTGTCCAAATCCAAGTCAAATTCCGACTCTACTTGCACCACCAAGACCAACTACTAAATCGTTACCATATTTAGGAAGTACTTTGCTTGATAAAATAGAGGCTTTTGTGAAAGTTGATAATACTTCTACTTCCAAAGATTTGTGTAATAAAATAATGTCTAAAACTTTTACTTCTCAATAATATCAAGTATCAATGAAAACTGTTTACATCTTCAATCTGCTGATATATTGGACAACTTGAGTGTTCCAAAGTTTATTTTGAAAATAAAAAATGATTTATCCATTGATAGCTATCACTGTGGTGTTAAGTGCACTATAAAACCTTTTCCTTACAATCATATGAATATTATTGACTGTGTTAGCTGTCTCCATGCTTTAATACACTATCTGAATTCTTTACCAATCGATCACAAAAAAAATATTATTATTGAACAGATGTTAAGTATAAACTCATTAATGTTTATTGGTGAAAAAAAGTATTCTCCTGATATGGTTGCTAGGGCATTTGAGTACTTTTCATTGTCAAGAACTCTTTACTCTCGATTACATGATGACTACGAACTACCAAGTATATCTTTGATGACAAAGTTGACATCTAAAGTTAGAAATGTTGGAGATGATGATTTTTTAAAGTTGTATTTTGAAAAATGCTCTATATCTCAAAGACAGGTTATTCTACTAATTGATGAAATTTATGTTAAACCACAGTTAACATATCAAGGAGGTAAAATTTTTGGTAAATCTGTAAATTCTCTAAATGAGTTAGCAAAAACAGTTTTAGGTTTAATAATTTGTTCTTTATTTGGTGGAAACCTGTTTTTGTATAAAGCATTACCAGTTACAGATTTAATTGCTAATTTTCAATACGATCAAACAGTGCAAACAGTTGAAGTGATAAAAAAATGTGGTGGTTCTGTTGTTGCTATTCTTTGCGACAATAACTTTGTAATACTTGGTGTACTAATGATAACGTTTTCCTTCTGTATGACTTTGTTTATTTAATAAAATCTATTTGCAACAATTGGCTCACAGAAAAATCCCAAGAACTATGCTTTACTTACAAAGGTATTTTAAGAACTGCAAAGTGGTCAGATTGTAAAAAACTTTTTCTAAACTTAATGAAACAGCAGTTTTTTCTAAACCAATTGAACCTCAAAATGTGTCAACTTGTTTAAGAGTATTTTTTGATGAGACTGTGTCCGCTATAAAAACTCATCCATCCATAAAAATGTTGGACACCACAGTGTTTTTATCTATATTTATCAAATTTTTTTAAATTGTTAATGTTAAAGGACTCTATGAAGTCATTTGTGCTAGAGATAAATATCGCGCTGTTTTTTCATCAAACAATGACAAACAATTGAACTTTCTTTTTATGGTTGAAAAAATGGCTCCTGAATAACAAGGTCATAGACTAAAAAATTTAACCAAAGATACTTTTTGTTCTTTTTCCCATACATATTGTGGGATGGTTGAACTAGTAAACATTTACTAACTACAATTCATAAGTATGTTTGCCTTAGACATTTCACTAGTGGCCCTATTGAGAAAGCATTTGGAAAACTTCGGCAAGGATCAGGTGGTACCTATTTTATAAATGTTCAGCAAATATTACAAAATATTGACATTAAAAAAATAAAACTTTGTCTAAATATTGGTATCACTGCTAATGATTTAGAAGTATCATCAAGTCATTTGTGTGACAAATGTAATTTGTATTGCAATATGATATTTTGTTCAATGTGTTTCATGATCTTCCAGTTATTGTAAGCAATTTGTCTAAAGAAATTAAAATGTCTTTGGTTTACATTGCTGGTTATGTCAATAGGGAAGATCTTCCAGTTGAAGATACATTATTTTGTTTTAAGCAGTTTGGAGATTATGTCAGAGAGATTAATCAAGGTGGTTTAAGTTTGCCTGGAGATAATATTTACCATTGGATATTTTATTCATACATTTTATTTCATCATCTTTACATTTTTGTCTGTTGTGTTAGCTTATCTAACTGTTTTTTGATGGTATCCGACTTTTATGGATTTACCAATATTTCAAAAAAACATTGTATAATCCTTGCGAATATATTTTTTAACATTTATTGCCATCTCTATACCCCGCGATTTTTTACTATATTATACCTAATGAAATGTGCATTGCATATATTATACTCTTTTTTTTTCATTTCGGAGGTTGAATTCATTTAATTGTTACAAAAATCTTTATTTACCCACATATAAATTATTGTTTATTAGAAATTAAAAAAAAAAGCTGTATGCTTCATAAAAAAAACTCGCCTACAGTTTTTATAAAAGCCGTATGTTTACTTGGCCTGTCACTATAGTTGGCCATGTATTATATGTATTATTGCAAGTATATTTATAGTATATAGCAAGTTATTATGCCAATGTATGGATAGTTAATTTCTTTATATTGTTATTTATGTAATTAATACAGTTTTTAACTAAAATATTACACATAATAATTATGTATCATTTAGCACAGTTTTCAAAAAAATGGAAGTTTGAATGAAGATGATCTCTTGCAAAAAGATGGAAAACTGCATCATGATGAAAGCTTGCATAAAGATAAACACTTGCAAGATAATGGAAACCTGCAGGAAGATGGAGACTTGCAAAAAGATAAAACCTTGCAAAATAATAAAAGTTTGAAAGAAGATAGAGGCTTGCAAGATGAAGGATGTTTGCTGCAAAATAAATCCTTTCATAAAAATAAAAGTTTGCAAGAAAATTTAAAGTGTGTATATTTTTAATCTTGTAGTTTCTATTTTTATAAAACCTTGAGGGTAAATAAAAAAAACTTTGTGGATAAAAACTTAGTCGATAAATCTAAAAAACATTGTGCATAACCCTGCTTGTTATATTACAGCTAAAGGTTGTATAATTTGTTTATGTTTTTTCATTTTTTGCTGTATTATTCATATCTGTCAGTTGCAGCAAATTCAATAATCAGAATCATGTTGTTGGTACTCAACATTTAGGGGAGGATGTTGATAACTGTAGCCTATATGAAGCTGTTGATATTGGTTGTGACCCATTGTCAGGTTTGTTTAATTTTAATAATGTTAAATAAACTTAACTATTTTTTATGAGTTAACGATTTTGCACCTGAGTTTAAAAAATAACAGTGTGATTGTGCATGTAATAACAAGTTTAGATCACAATCAATTGGGTATAAAAAAAAACTACTTGTCAGAGTTTTACAAGTAAGATGTTGTGTTTTTTGTCAGAGCATTGACTTTCAGAATATTAAAAAAATTTTAAAACATTTTTTATTATCTTTGTCACATGATCAAAAATATACCATGTTAAAATAAACAAAAAACAAAAATAATAAGTATATTGTTTTCAATGTTAAATAAGATAGACATTATTAGTGGTGATCAAACCAAAAATAAAGTTAAAACAAAACTCAAAAGTCAAAAGAGATTAAACAAAAAGTAGTCGATAAATTTAATTTTCAATTTCACTATCAGGTTCTATATTTGTGTCACTTTATGATTCCTTATTAATTTTCTCTTCAGGATCATTATTGTCGCTTGCTTCACAGGTGTATGTCACTGTCTGCTTGCTCCTTGTGGTGCAAAAATACCACTGAAAAAACTTTGATTCTTAGGGGTATTTTTAGGAGTATTGGTGAAAGTAAAACTTTTGAGCTGGCAAATCTTCTGATTATAACAAACCCTTTGTTATAATCAGAAGATTTGCCAGCTATGTTTCTCTTTAGATATTTTTAATTTTATTTACTTTTTGACAAGTTTTTAGTGATTTTTAACATCATTTTATTTTTGGTTAAAATATTTTCAAGTTAAAATATTATAAAATATTCAGAGTATGAATCTTGTTTCACCAAACTAATATAACGCTTTAAGTTATATATATTTTTCTTTTCGTAGAATTTATTTCCTCTCTGATTAGATAGAGATTAAAGTTTCAAATAAAAAAAGTTCCAAATGAAGGAACAGATGCTTTTGTAGCATTTTTATGAATTATGATATTTTTTAATGAACCTTGGCGCATGAAAAAAACTTTTATATTTAATAAAATGAGTTTTCAAATGATCTTAAATTTATTGGGAATTTTAGATGCTCTCAAAATGTATATTTAACTTTTATGTATTATTTATGTATGCATTTTTAAATTTTATGTACTTTTAACTTTTATGTATTATTGTCTTAATGGTGGATTTATATTATTAAAATTTTTTTAAACCTTTCACAGCAGCCCACTAATTAAAGTTAAAAGTTTCATTTACAAAAATATCGGGTGGACACGGAAAAATCCGATCAACTTTAAATTGAGATTTCTCTAAAACCATAAATGCTTTTTATTTCAATTTTTTTATTATTAAATGTGTTTACAAAAATTAGAGTTTCAACTTAATTTTAAGGGGCTTGATGGGTTGCTTGGCAAGAAATCGAACTTTAAAGCGGGTTGATGCCATCATTTTACAGATTTTTTTTTTTCACCATATTGGTGGCATTAATCCACTTTTTTTGGAAGTCCTTTTTATTATTTGTTAGTCCACCTGTCTTACGAAGAACTCCTTTAACTATTGCCCAAAAATCTTCAATCTTGCGCTCTTCAGGACAATTTGGAGGATTCGCATCTTTAGGAACAATTTTCACATTATTATCTTTGCACCACTGAAAAACTTTTTTAGAATAGTGAGAGGCAGCAAGATCGGGCCAAAAGAGACATCAGTGTTTGTGTTTTTTTATAAAAGCCAAAAGTCTTTTTTGGAGGCATTCTTTGATGTAGAGATTGGCAGTCAAGGTCAATTTAGTGACAAAACAAGAGGACTGCTTACCACAGCTACAAATTGCTTGCGACACAAGGAACTTGGATGCCAATTTTTCTCGTCGAATATATTTAAATTGATCATCGACAGGTTTATCTTTGTTTTCATAGTACAACTGTTGACCAGGAAGTTGTGAAAAATCCGCCTTGCAATACGTTTGGTCGTCTTCAATTATGCACATAATTTTATCCGCCATTATTTTAACCAACTTCTTTGTGCGTTGAATTCCTTTAATTTCACAATTTAAGCTTCTCTTAGGTGTATTTTTTTATGAAATGTTTTAATTCCAGCATTTTTAAGTACTTTTTTGATATAAGAACGAGAAGTCTTTAATTTTCTTGCTAGATCTTGCTGTGACTGATTTGGATTTCTTGCTATTGAACGTAAAATTGACTTTACCTTTTTGGATTTATGGAAAGTTTTTTTTTTTCCACTTCCAAGTTGTCTTTCGAAGCTTTGAGTAGTCTTGAACTTGTTTATAATATCTATGACTGTAGATTTTGGGACATTTGTGCATTTAGCAATCAAGCGATAGGAAGTCGATGGATTTTTGCAAAAAAAATTCACAACTTTTTTATGCACCTCAACTTGTTTTCAAAACATTTTGCAAATCATTAATTTGTAAACAAAAATTTATCAACACCATTTAAGATAAGGAAGTAAGGTTTAATTAAAAAAAAATTAAATAAAAAGCATTTGTGGTTTTAGAGAAATCTCAATTTAAAGATGACCGGATTTTTCCGTGTCCACCCGATAACTTTTTTTAAAAATTACAAAATTTAAATTTATCTAAAATTACCAAGGTAATTTTGAAAAAAAAACCATTTAACAGCTAAGAGTCACAAATTGCCTGGGTAACAGGTAAGGTAATACCTGGGTAAACACTAGAATCGAAATATTACAAAACTTTTGATAAGCCTCTATTGGGCTCACTTCTCATTTAGGAACAGATTTTAGAAACCGCAGTTGTAGTCACTTGTCACAAAACATGTATATAATTTGTTACCAGTATTTGGATACAAGTATCTTGTTAGCAGTGTCTGTCTATAAATATTGAAATCTGAATACAAGTATTTACTGAGTATGGTTACCGGTAACAAGTTGTTGTTATGTTCATGTTTATTGTTACTAACATCTAGATGAAATATCTTGTATAGATTCTTGAAATAACCTTTTATTTTCAAATTTAAAAGTTTTTCCAAACTATTGTTATTTAATTTTTTTTTTTTTTTTTCTATAAAATATTTTTATGAAAAATTCATTGTTTGGTATTTAAAAATTACTAAATAGAGTGAAATTTTGACTTTTATGTTTTCTAGTTATTAAATGTTAAATATTCTTGAATATTTACTGAATATTTACTTTGAATTTTTGGTTTTAAAAGAATCTCAAATTCTTTTATAAAAAAAATATATATAAAAAATAAAGATAAAATATATTTTAGCTGTGACCATTAACCAGGTCAAATTGAAATGAGATTTAGTCAAGTTCAATAAAAATTCTAAATAGTCCTGAAGTTTTGGTGCGAAATACCCAATGTAATAAGTAACAATAACACTAGATTAGTGTTTTATTCATAAACAATGAGTACCTAAATATCTCTTAAAACTCTAACAAATAAATAAATCATAACACCGTTAAAAAAAGGATTATTTTCTAGTTTTATATTTCTTTTTTTATTATATATTTTTTTAATTTAATAAAAGATGTTTTTAGATGTAATTTTAATACTAAAAAAGAAAAAAGTAATTGTGTTGCTAAACTTTTTTCAATGTTATTTTTTAAGTGTACAACACGAATTCAATACCTAAATTTTTTCACTAAAACATTCTTCACGCCCATATATATATTCTTCATATATATATAGATATAGATATAGATATAGATATAGATATAGATATAGATATAGATATATATATATATATATATATATATATATATATATATATATATATATATATATATATATATATATATATATATATATATATAGATATAGATATAGATATAGATATAGATATAGATATATATATATATATATATATATATATATATATATATATATATATATATATATATATATATATATATATATATAATATATATATATATATATATATATATATATATATAGATATATATAGATATATATAGATATATATATATATATATATATATATATATATATATATATATATATATATATATATATATATATATATATATATATATATATATATATATATATATATATAGATATATATAGATATATATAGATATATATAGATATATATATATATGTATGTATGTATGTATGTATGTATGTATGTATGTATTATTGTTTTTTATTTTTTCATTAGAGGCTTCTTTAAATAGTTCAATAATAGATTTCAAGGTCAGTAAATTTCTTTTAAATGATTTTTTGTTTGCTGTTATGTTAATAGAAAGAAAAGTTTATATAGTTCTCTTATTTTTTATTATTTTTTTGCTGCAGATCCTTAAGATTCTAACAGATATGGTTAAGAGTGCTATAAGAGTACCATTTTTTTAAATTTTATTTGCTTTTTTAATGTGACGGGTTTACTACAGCCGTGAAGGCTACTCTTTTTTTTTTAATGATATGGGTTTTACACAGGTAAATTGCAGTGTCTTATCAAGAGATGCAAGTGGCTCCCTTGTTCCAACAAATATTCATTTACATTAAACTAGTAGTAAATGAATAAAAGTTTTAACTAGATAATAAATGAAATTTATTATCTAGTTAAAACTTTTAGCATTAAATTAAAATACTGTTTATAAATGAATGTAAACAAGAAACCATCAATATTGTTATAAATGAATTTAAACAAGAAACAGTGGAAATAAAAGTAAAACAATCAAATAAAATGAAAAAGAAAGAAAAAAAGAATTTTTTTTTTCAAATACCGAAAAATACACTTGACATGAAATGCATTAAAATTACAATGAATTAATGCAGCAACAAAAATTTATTGTTAATGTAGAAAATATTAAAAAAAAAAATTCTTATTTTGGATAGTTTTTTCTCACAAAGCAAAGTTATTAGGGGGATCATTAAAATGAATAATATTAGTTAAATAAATTATGGTTATTTGCATTAGTTCAGCATGTGAAAATTAACCAATAAAAATACCAACAATAAAGCAATATGCAGTATGTGTTTTATTATGTTTTTTCATAAATCAAATCAATATTTTGTATACAAAGAAAAATATATGCACATAGAGAGAAAAAAATTCTGATAAAATTACCCACAATTCTTATATAATTGTCCACCATTTAGTTTTGGTTAAAAATAGCTTGAATAGTAATCTTCTTTGTGATGTTATCACAATGATGTTTAGTATTGATCTGCAAAATAAATTATCACAATGATGTTCAGTATTGATCTGCAAAATAAATTATCACAATTATGTTCAGTATTGATCTGCAAAATAAATTATCACAATGATGTTCAGTATTGATCTGCAAAATAAATTATTACAATGATGTTCAGTATTGATCTGCAAAATAAATTATTGCTAAAAAGGGCATCTGGTTGTAAAACATCACTTTTCTTCTTTCATGCTTTTCTTCAATGTCATATATAAATAAAAAAATTATGTTATGAACAAATGTCCAAACCTTGTTCAATTTTTTTTTTTTTTTTTTTCAATTTATAACTCATGGAAAATTACTGTCATTTGCAAATGTCATTATACATTTTTAATAAAAGAATATGATTTGCAATGTAAATACAAAAATACAACAATAAACCACATCATTAATAAGAGAATATTGTGATATCTTTATTAATATAAAGAATGAGGCAGTGTTGGACAAGGCAGTTAATGTGCCTCTCCTAACTTGACCAATTGAAGTTTAATACAGTTATTTAAATAAAGTTTGAAAAAAGCAGTTAAGACACGTTTTTAATAAATTAATTAGACTATGAAAAGATGAAGATGAGTTTTCCTTCAAATACTCAGTAAAGATTTTTCCACTAATTTTTATGTAAATTAAGTATTTTCAAATTTCAGAAAAAAATGCAAGAACAATAGACATTCAAATCATCAAAATAAATTATAAATTAAACTATGATTAATCTAGAGTTTTATGATTATATAAATTTATTTGAAAAATATCATGAAATATAAAAATATAGTTTAAAAAAAAGGTTTAAATGATCAAAACCTTTTCTTAGGTCCCTAAAATACAAGTTTGTTGAGAGCAACAAGTTTTAATTGTCAAAATGTCAATAAGTTTCTAAACAACTTAGAGAATGTTTACATCTAATAGAGATGTTTACATCTGATAGTATTAAAAATAATTAAAACAAGAATCATGAGTGTTGTACAGGCAAACTAATGTCATTTAACAAAGTTTCATATCACAATTATGTAAACATCAGGTTGATCAAAACGTCTTAGCTGAATGAATGAAGGCAACTTATAACTATGTGTGTAATTATTAATGAGAAACTCAATACCACCGGTATTCATTTTTTTTCTAAAACAAGGTTTTATGAACATATGCTAAAAGGAGGGCCTAACAATTTGTGGATTTGCAACCTGAGAGTACTAGAAGGCTATGGATGATATGATAAATTGAGCATTTTTTATAAAAGCAGCTAAAAAGATTTATTTAATCATGGATTAATTTGATTTTTATGTATATAAACTTAATTGTTAAATGTGATTTTTTTTTTTTTTTTTTTTTACTTGAATTCACCACTTTAAATTCATGTTTCATCTCTATTTTTTTAAATTCAAATATTATTTTGAATTTTTTCTGCTTTATAAAAAAAAGCATTGTATTTTGTAAAATATTTTTTAAAAGAATATATAGATCTACTATTCATTAATTAATTTATTTTTTTCCATATTTTAGATAAAAAAAGATGGAGACGACAACAACTTGTAAATAATATTTTTCATTTGTATTCTTTAGAAAATAATTAAATATCTTTTTTATCTTATATGTAACATTTACTTGTGTGATGTTTTGTTTGCTAGTATAATGTTAGTTGATATATGTTAGTAAATGTTATATACAGTGTAGTATTATTTGTTAGTATTGGTTTATAGGTCTTTATATGTTAGTATTGGTTTATAGGTCTTTATATGCATTTTTTTTATAAAGAAATTCAAATGCAGATCTAATGCACTTAATTTTAATTTTCTTCCAAAATCAGAATGGGGAATGCGTCAGAAGAAATGTTTTCTCTAAACGATTCCCAAGCTATTTATAATGGTATTAGTTCAGATTGTAACCATATTCTTGTTCCTGAAGTGTCTTTAACTGTTCGTAATCTTGGAAAGTTATATCGAACTCCTCCAGTGAGCCCGATGGTTAAAAAAACGCTGTTAGATTTATCAATAGATACAGATTTTAAAAATTTTAATGATTTTACTTCTACCAACAAATCTCGTATTAAAGAAGAACCTTTAATAAAACATACAATAAATAAGAACTTCAATAAAGGAGGGCAAACTACAAGTACACCGATTTCAGACCAAAAATTGAACAAACTCGTTGACGTTAGTATGCAAGAATCGCACAAAAGTTTTATTAAAAATGATTTTTTTGACGCAGAGTTAAATAACGGAAAGAACGATAGTAGCGAAAATAACGTTTTTAGCTTACGTCTAAATGATATAACACCTGAAAAAACATGTTTATTAGAAAAAGAAACTTTATTTTGCAGTAATATAACGAGCTCACAAAACTTTAATATTGAATCAAAAATTAAATCAAAAGAAGATTATACTGAATGTTCTAAAGTTACTGATTCAAATGTAAATATACACTTAAACTCGTACGATCTTGACTTCCTAGAATATGGAGTTTCGGGAAAAAGAACTAATAATATAGAAAATCGCAAAAAAGAAGCAAATATAAAATCCATACCAGAAAACAATCATATGACTTTATTAGATTTTTTTAGTGACAATGCAGAAAGCTTAGCAATAAATAATCAAAAAAACACCTTGCCATTAAATATGCAGTACGCCGATACCTTACCAATAAATAAACCAGGTGTTGAGCAAAACGATCCCTTGTTGAGCTTGAATACTTTATTTATGCCAGATAAATTGAGTAATAAAGTAACAAAACTTCAATTAGCTGATACGTTGCCAGTTGCATTGAACACTGAGTCACACGTTATCGATGTATCCAACCCCGAGTCACATGAAAAAAGTAATAAACTACATTATAGTATATTTGTTGAGAAGTCATCCGAAAATCAAATGGACTTTTCGCCGTCACCTAATTACTTAGCGTCTGATAATAGTTCTTCTTTTGATTTCCATCGTTCAAAAGTAGCCTTTAGTGCAGAAAAAACGAAAAGTATTATTGAAGATTCTGAGTCAAACGATGCAGCAACTTGCCAAAATACGATAGAAGTATCGATGCATGAAAACAAGGATGTAAAAATTTGCGAAGAAAAAGGTGATCTTTTAATTTTTTTTTTTTTTTTTTTGATGTTAAATTTTTTATTTATCAACATCAGTAGGGCGCATGCTTATGAAAAACTTCATTTCAAGGTGTTTTCCATTTTTATTTTTGCTATGATAAACAGTTAATTTTAAATGATTACATTAATTTATGATTTTAGAAAGTACTGAGAAAGATAGTAAACTTGCGTTGTTAAAGAAACTCTGTTTAGAAAACATGGGTAATTTAGATATTGACGATCACGTGCTCATAAAAATTGCGCAGCTTGCTAAAGACTTAAAATTAGTTGATGTCACAAAATAGAAAAACGAAATATGGAGATCTTAATCAGTGAAGTCAAAAATATAGAGAAATCTAACCGAATGTGTAGAAATGTTGTAGTGTTTTTATCAATTGTGAATAAACTACTTTAATCTCGGAATTGAAAATGGTTGACATCTTATACATAAATACTTTAAACACTAATCACATTTATCATTATTTGTAACAATTGTTTGTTAGTTTTTTTTTGTTATAACAGAAGTTTTTATTTTTTTAAAAACAATCGTTTTTATTGATTATTCACCTTCACATTTTAAATATTTTTAAATTAAAAAAATTTTCAGCCACAGCTCTGGTTAGCATTAATTAAAACCTCTATGCGCGCAACGATTGGCTAAATTTACTATATTAGATTTAAACAATTTCATTTCAACATATCTACGGTTAGGTCAAGTTGATCAATGGCCTAAAAAGCAATAATTTCTCGTAGTTTTTTTTAACATGTTATGTAGCACGAATGCCGGTTAACCATTTTGTATCGGAGAGCTTGTAAAGTGATACAGCAGCTTCTTGAGTTTTTCATCTTGTTAAACTGCAACTAAAAAACCTTTAGAGAGTTTGGATAATAGAAAAAGAGTTGATCTCAACAGCAAATTTAGACATCGTGTTGCAAGGAAGTATAGAGCAAACATATTTTTTCTAAAGTATATGTTTTCCATTCTAGATTTTTACCATATTAAAACCATTATTACATCCTTGGTTTCTCAATTTTTGTAAATTAAGATTCACTCACGCAAATTAACTGAACAATATCTTCAGTTCTGTTTTTCTCCCATAACACAGAAAAATCGTTTGTGTCTTCCAAATTGTTTTATCTGATTTTCACAAAGTAAAGAATAAACGTGATTTGTACGGTATCTCGGGTAGCATCGGTAGTAACATTAAAATATACAATACTCTCATTTCCTTTCCAGCGTTCTTACTTCTTTTCCTGGGTCTCGACTAATGCCGAACATTCGCTGATGGATTTATTTTGTGATTATCAGAAGAGATAGCGGGACTGCATTCTAGATTCCTCTATTTTATGTTTAGCGACAGTTTCAAGATGATTCTTAAATATTCAGTCGTGAGTTCAAAGCAACTTAAAAGTACCCTTTCCCTTTTTTTGCATAATTTCCTTAGAATTTATTACTCGTTAATTAAAATTCGAAAACACTCTTTTATTACGAAGATATGACTTGAAACTTTTACCACTTGCGGCAAATGTTCTTTGTTTAACGGAATCATAACAAACTAGCAGTAAGCAACCCGTAATATGGGTTGTTAGTAAATAAAATTAGCGTATTAATATTACCAGATAAAATGTAAAAATAGTTTTTGTATTCATCTGCCTATCAGAAGTAACCAGAAGAGATTTATTAAAGTTAACGCCATAAGAATACTACATATGGTGATTGCACGCATAATAAGAAACTCAATCCCATTAGTATGGAAAAATTAAAGTAGTATGCGATTATTTAAAAACAACTATTTTACCATCAGAATAAAAATTTCATTATTACCTGTTGACAAAAAATTAAAATGATTTTATGTAAACGGTTAAATGCTCTTCAAATATAGTTTGACTACTCTTAAACGTCTCAACAGTCTGTTATATCTGTTACTATTGTTAAATTTTAAACTGCCATTTTCTAAATAATTTAGTTATTATAATAATGAAATTTAGTAATATAATTTTTTTTTTTTCATATATATACTTATTTCTAATGTAATGATTGTGAAGGAAAATACATATCATGCTGTTGTTGTTTTAGAATAAAAATGTAAAATGAAAAATATTTTTACAAATCCATTTATGGAGTATATTTAAAAAAGTGATAAACAAACCAAAGTAAAAGTCTTAAGCAGAAACAAATCTGATTTGAGATTAATATAAAGTTTTTTTTTTTTTTTTTTTTATTAATATATATTTGCTGTTTATATTATAAGAAATATAATTACAAAGAAACGTTTACGTTCAAAAAAAAGTGAATTTATAATAAACAGGCAGGGGCTCAAAGAAGATACGGATGACTAAAGTCACCACAATCTTTTCATAGAAAAAAAATAGTATCTCCAATATAATAAAAAGGTTAAAGCTTGCATAAATATTTCCATTAAATCAAGAAAGTAAATAACATCATATAGTTTTATCAATATTTATTAAAATATATTGGCAACTCTGTTAAGTATCAAAATAAGAGCCAATTAACAAGTAAAAAAACTAAGAATAATGGAAGTCTTTTTCATTTCGAAAAATCAAGAAAACTATTTATCTAATTTAAAAATTTCATTTTTTATTATAAACTTAAAGGAATTTAATGATTTTACAGTATTTAAATTTTTTGTTTTTTGAAAAGTGTTCCATAGTTTTGGTCCACGGTATGATATTCCATATTCAGAATACTTACTATTAATTCTTGGTAATTTATAAGTATTCCATTGGTTTCTAAGAGAATATTTTTTGTTTACATTTATTGTAAATTTATCATTAAAGTTTTTTGGAATCAAGCAATTGTTACATTTATACATAAAAATTAGGTGTTGGTAAATGTTGATTTCATATATATTCATCATTTTCATGTCTTTCATTAATGGTTTTGCATGTTCATATTTTTTTTATATATATATAAGTCTGCATGCATGTTTTTGTAAAGAAAATATTTTTTTAAGTTTTGTTGGTTGAGTACTAGCCCATGTGATATTGGCATAGTATGTGAAACAATGTATTAGGCCAAAATATACTAATTTCAGACTTTCTGATGTTACATATGGACAAATACGGTACATTAGACCAATTGTTTTACTAATTTTTGATTGAATATAATAAATATGGGGAAGCCATGATAAATTTTCATCAATAAGAATTCCCAAGAATTTTATTGAATCATTTTTACTAATTAGTGCATCGTTTAAAATCAAGTCAGGTAATTTTAAACCTAGTTTTTTATCTTGTGATTTTTTATGAAATAAAGTATATTTTGTTTTATCTACATTGAGTGAAAGTTTATTTGCCTTAAACCATTCATCTACATTCATTAGTTCAGAGTTCATGTCAGAATACAGTTGATTAATGTCACAGTTTGAAAGGAAGAGATTTGTGTCATCAGCAAACATTATTGAGTTAAGCTTAGCTGATGCATTATTAAAATCATTTACATAAATCAAGAAAAGCAATGGACCAAGAATTGACCCTTGCGGAACTCCACACAAAATATTAAGTTGACCTGATTCCTTACTAATAACATATTGTTTTCTCTCAGTGAGGTAGCTTTTTAACCAATCATAGGTTTTATTTATCACTCCATAGTGTTTTATTTTTTCCAAAAGAATTAGGTGATCAACCGTATCAAATGCTTTTGATAGGTCAATAAATAATCCTAAAGTGAAGCTATTCTTTTCAAACCCTTAAGTAGTTTGGTCTACTATTTCAATTATTGCGTGTTCTGTTGAATGTTTTTTCCGAAAACCAAACTGTTTTGTATAAAATAAATTATTTTCATTAATGGTTATAGATTCTATTATAAATTACACGTTCAAATATTTTTGAAAATACAGAAAGTACTGATACAGGTCTATAACACTGGCCAACAAAGATTTTGCGGCAAAACATTTGGGGGTCATTTTATAGGTAACTTGTTGCCCTGATTCCGAATATGACCTCCGTTTTCCTAGATTGGCTCTAGTTTTTGAGATACAGGGTGGTCACGAAAGTACATTAATAGCAACAATTTATGTTAGGTTGTAGCGTAATTCACAAAAAAAACACTAGATATATATATTAAATTGTTTATGGGGAAGTACATACAATGCTAATAGATCAAAACATTCAAATCAGTACAATGAAATTACAATTAATGCATTAAAAATCGGTGTCTGTATGATTGTCTTTTGTGTGGAGAATGTAGACAATCACGTTGAAGGCTCCAACAATAGTCAGCCATCATGTGTGTATCCAATCTTCCTTGTTATCTTTCTTCCATTACCTTGATATCTTGATGGAACTTCTCCCCTTGTTCCTCACTATAACTTCCTAGATTATCGGGAAACCGATCTAAGTGACTATGTAGAAAGTGAACTTTTATGCTCATATTAGCTTTCAATGTTTTGAAGTCTGAAAGCATTTTCTGTACGATTTCTTCATAGTTGGGAGATTTATGGTTGCCCAAAAAGTTATGAACAACCAAGACAAAACTTTTCTAGGCAGATGCTTCAATATCTGTCATTGTATATAGGAACTGCTCATCCTTGATGATTTGGCGAATTTGAGGGCCGCTAAAGATTCCAGCTTTGATTTTCTCCATACTCAAGCCTGGAAAAAATCTGCAAATATATTTGAAACATTGACCATCTTTGTCTAGGGCTCTTACAAATTGCTTCATCAGTCCTAGTTTGATGTGGAGTGGTGGGAAAATAATTTTTCCCCTGTCTACCAGTGGTTCGTTAATGATATTTGATGCACCTACAGTCGTATTTTCCCTTGCAGCCCATACCACCTTTTTCCAGTAGTCTTCTTTAGCCCTACTATCCCACAAACATATGAAGCAAGGGTACTTAGTATATTCACTTTGCTGCCCTAGTAAGAAGTTTACCATCTTTAAATCAACACATTTAGACCACTGGTGCTCATTGTATCTAAGCTTCTGCAACATCATTCTTATATTTTCATATTCCTCTTTCAGTTTTGTTGAGTGAAGTATTGGGATGGATGCATAACTATTGCTATTGTGCAATAAAACACACTTCAAACTTCTCATCGAACTATCTATAAACAATCGCCAATCTTCTGGTCGGTATTCAGGTAACCCCATTTGGAGGAGGAGTCCAGGGATGTTCCTACAGTATACTATTTTTTCTTCTTGAATGAAATATGGAAGAAGTGCTGCCTCTCTTGTCCAAAAAAAAGTTATTTTACATTCGGCCTTCAAACTGTTCTTTTCACTTAGTCTAGATGCTAAAAGCTCAGAATCTTGCTTGGATAGACTTAAGTCTCGTACTAAATCATTGATCTCTTCCTGGGAGAACTGTTGCTGTTTAGAAGTACTGTCTTCATATTCACTACCACTATCTGCATGTTCGCACACCAAATTCTGCATATCTTCTTCATCAGACACTGTTAGATCTGGGAGTGTAGTGAACACTGGAATGGGGACATCGTCTGAGTGTGGTACAGGTCGCCTTGCTGATTCCAAATCCGGATACTCAAATTTACGTTTCTTGAAACGATTGATACCTTTCACA